TTCAGGCTCCAGGAAGCTATCTGCAAGCCTTGCGCACCCGGGGGGAGTTCCCCTGGGCACTCAAGGCTTGCGGGCAGCAGCCTGCAGCGCGGAGCACGGGGCGCCCTCCGGAGGATGCCCCGTGCTTCGCGCAGGTGTCGGCAAGCCTTGCGCACCCGGGGGATCTCCCCCGGGAGCGCAAGGCGTGCGGGCGGCAGCGTGCAGCGCAGAGCACGGGGCGCCCTCCGGAGGACGCCCCGTGCCGCGCAGGTGTCTGCAAGCCTTGCGCGCCCGGGAGATCCCCTGGGCGCGCACGGCTTGCGGGCGGCAGCCTGCAGCGCGGAGCACGGGGCGCCCTTGGAGGACGTCCCGTGCTCGCGCAGGTGTCCGCAAGCCTTGCGCACCCGGGATCTCCCGGGAGTGCAAGGCTTGCGGGCGGTAGTCTGCAGCGCGGAGCACGGGGCGCCCTCCGGAGAACGCCCGTGCGCCGCGCAGGTGTCGGCAAGCCTTGCGCGCCCGGGGGGACTCCCGCTGGGCGCGCAAGGCTTGCGGGCGGCAGCCTGCAGTGCGGAGTACGGGGCGCCCTCTGGAGGACGCCCCGTGCTTCGCGCAGGTGTCCGCAAGCCTCGTGCGCCCGGGGGGAGATCCCCCCTGGGCGCGCACGGCTTGCGGGCGGCAGCCTGCAGCGCTGGAGCACGGGGCGCCTCGGAGGACACCCCGAGCTTCGCACAGGTGTCGGCAAGCCTTGCACACCCGGGGGGATCTCCCCCCAGGAGCGCAAGGCTTGCGGGTGGCAGTCTGCAGCGCGGAGCACGGGGCGCCCTCCGGAGGACGCCCCGTGCTTCGTGCAGGTGTCTGCAGCCTGCCGCCCGGCGTGGGGCGCCCGGAAGCAGAGCGCCCCACACGCCGGGCAGACATCGGCCAGCCCCACAAGCTCGGGGACAACGGGAGGCGCAGCGCCACCATCCCACTGTTCCCCGACCTGGTTTTGGGGGGGGAAATAAAGGAAAAATTTTTTTCCTTTATTTCCCCCCCAAAAAAGTAGGTGCGTCCTATGGGACGGAGCGTCCTATGGAACGAAAAATACGGTATATCCTGGTTTCACCCAATGCCTAAGCCAAACTGCATACAACTGTAACCAATAAAGTTGTGGCCTTATTTATCCCATTAACCCAATATACTTGTGTTTGTGTATTTATTTCGAAGTGAGCTAGGCGGTCCTGGGCCTCGCCACACAAGTATGTGGATGACCAGTGTGGGAACTGGAAACCTAAAATATTCGTGCCCATGTGTGTTTATTATATAAGGGAAGTACGGGATCTGGGGCCTTGTCACGCAACTACTGGTTTTAGTACAAGGCATTGGTTCTGGTGTACAAAGACCTATGCAACTCAAGACCAGGAAATCTATAAGACCATCTCACCCCTTATATACCCTGTTGATTGCTGTGCTCTGTAGAAGAGGGCCTCCTACAGAAACCATCTTATCAGGAGGTCCATTTCATATGACCTTAAATGCGGCTCCACCTACCCATTGGAACTCCCATCCATTACGTCTCAGGCAGGCACCCTCTCTACTGTTCTTTTGGCACCTACTAAAGACCTTCCAACACACCTTTTAAGTGGAAATCTTTATCCTAGTCTGCATCTGTACCGGATTTGGAATGGTTCTTAACCAGTGTTTGAAATTAGCCAGGAGCCAGGTGCATTTGGCACCTGGTTATTGACCACTTGCAACAAATTGAAGATGCCTGGGTGTCAGGATGGTGCCTGACATCTCCACCATCTGGAGGTGCATGCCAGGGATAATTGGATCTTGTCTGTCTTCACACACTAATACCACATCCTGTAGAATCCTACCAGTTATAGTTTATCTGCACAGTTGGACGAATTTCAGGAACAACAAGGCCTTTTCCGTGCAGCCTGAGCAGGAGCAGTGAACAATGTCATAGTTAATTATTGTAGCTTTTCTTCACTTACTCCACCCCGCTGCCCTGCTCACAGTTGTGAAGAATATTCCTATGTTATGAATGGTCCATGTCACCATTAAGAAAAATAGGTCGGAATAGGCCAATATATATGTGGACAGTCCCTGGATCAAGTGACTTTTCTTCTTTTAAGTTCTCAAAGTTCTTAAGCTAGCTCACGGTTGTCATCTGAACTAGCCAGATATTTAACTGAGAATCAATCTCAGCCAGCGCTTCATTTGAAAAATAAGACTTTAGAGCCGTTTTGCCACAAAATGGCAACTAGACATTCAGTTTTGGCGACTATATCCTTGGTTTAAGGAGCCATTTGGCGCCTGGCTTCTATATCTGAATTTCTAACACTAATACATTAAGAATTTTAACTTCTTTTCTTCTTCTTTACAGAAGGCATCATATTTATTGCTGGTGGAGGTTTTTAAATGTGAAATTCAGCTCCGGCTTGTGGAGAGAAAAAGCATTGGGTGTGCATATGTGTGTGCAATGCTGGATATATTTTCAGCACAGCACTGGACTACAACAATAGCTCTGGCCTCCAGAACTTGTTACCTGCCAAGTCAGGGGAATGGCTGTAGCCCAGTGAGAGAGCATCTGCCTTGCATGAAGAAAGTACCAGGAGGTTCCAGTCTCCAGGTCGGGCTGGGAGAGATTTCCTTCCTGTAACCCTGGAGAACTGCTGCCAGTGAATGTGGACAATACTGAGCCAACTGAACTTAGTATGAGGTGCTTTCCTCCGTCCCAATCACAGGCCAGTAACAATAGGTGGTGACCCACCAGGAACACTTAATTTTTGCGGCCTACTCTTGTTCATCCTGTCACCCCATTGATATTTATTTATTATTACATGTATATACGCATGTATGTATATACATGTATATAGGGACGCGGGTGGTGCTGTGGGTTAAACCACAGAGCCTAGGACTTGCCGATCAGAAGGTTGGCGGTTTGAATCCCCGCAACGGGGGGAGCTCCCGTTGCTTGGTCCCTGCTACTGCCAACCTAGCAGTTTGAAAGCACGTCAAAGTGCAAGTAGATAAATAGGTACCGCTCCAGCGGGAAGGTAAACAGCGTTTCCGTGCGCTGCTCTGGTTCACCAGAAGCGGCTTAGTCATGCTGGCCACATGACCCGGAAGCTGTACGCTGGCTCCCTCAGCCAATAAAGTGAGATGAGCACCGCAACCCCAGAGTCAGCCACGACTGGACCTAATGGTCAGGGGTCCCTTTACCTTTACCTTTATCCCACATTTTTTTTCAGCGAACTCATTGTGGTGTCCATGGTTCTTCCCCTTTCCATATTATCCTCACAACAACTAGGCTGACAGGCAGTGACTGTTCCAAGGTCACCTAGTGACCTTCATGGCTGAGTGGAAATTTGGACTCTGGTCTCCCCAGGCCCTAGTCCATCACTCTGACCACGACACCGGCAGGCACATTTAGTACGTCTGTTCGTTTGCTCTTTTTCCTTCTTCTCCAGAGAGACATGCCCTTTGCCTGTCCATATTCTTTTGCTAGACATCTCCTGTATAATAACTCCTCTTTTTCATGAGCCTTTCTCTCTCCTTTCCTTATTAGTGCTTTCACATCCCAAAATTAATCTGCTAAATAGCTTATTTCATTTGCAAGTACATTGCTTGTCTTTTGTCTTGCCTCCCCAGTGATATCTTGGTTGAATACTTCCTTTTTATAAGCTTCATTCTCAGTGTGCAGTTTGCAGATTCCCCATGGGGTTGTGGCCTATTGTTCCCGAAAAAACACCTTTGAGCGGGGGCAGGGGAGGAATGATGCACCATTTGAACTGAGAAACCTCAAAATGATATTTGTATGCCAGGGAACTAAGAATAAGAAGATAAGAAGAACCTGCTGGATCAGGCCAGTAGCACATTCAGACCAGCATCCTGTCTTCACCATGGTCAACCAGATATCTATAGGAACCTTACCTATGGGAGCCAGCATGGTGTAGTGGTTAAGAGCGGTGGACTCCTGATCTGGTGGAACGGGTTCACTTCCCCGCTCCTCCACATGCAGCTGCTGGGTGACCTTGGGCCAGTCACATTTCTCTGAAGTCTCTCAGTCCCACTCACCTCGCAGAGTGTTTGTTGTGGGGGAAGAAGGGAAAGGAGATTGTTAGCCACTTTGAGACTCCTTAAGGGGAGTGAAAGGTAGGATATCAAGAAGAAGAGAAGAAGAGTTTGGATTTGATATCCCGCTTTATCACTACCCTAAAGAGTCTCAAAGCGGTTGTACAACACAGGGTGGCAACCCTACTGTTTACCCTACTACTTTCCCCTAGGGAAACAAGAGGTTTAGCTCTGAATCGGAACAATCAGCAATTGGGTTTTCCATGGATTGTCGTTTGTTCTGATTTAGCGCCAAAGAATGGGTTTTTATGGGGGGAAATGGCAGGGCAAAGGCAAAACTACTCAGACTTGTGCCTAGAAAACATGGGACAAGTGAGGATGAGCCCAGAGTTTGATGCTGCACTGCATGAAGAATCTCTTCTCCTTTCTCAAGTTGTATGTTTCAGGTGGGGCTGAACAAGCATCCCTTTTTTGACTCCATCGTAGCCACACAGAACCCCTTTGGCCCCAGGTCCTATAAGAAAACCTACCTTCGGGCAGGGGGTGAGGGTGTCAGTAGCAGCAGAGTCATGAAGTGCTCCCAAGGCACTAGCAGAGGGTGGGTTTGGGACTGCCAGTTTCAGAATCCCTGGTGGGGAAAGGACACTAGCCATGTAATTCGTTGTCCCAAGGGGGATTCCTGGACTGGTATACGCTGGTCCATGCCGGGCAGGCAGGACAGGCTAGGAAGCTGCTTCTACAAAGTTACCTTATGCTGATTCAGACCATTTAGTCTTCTAATTCAGTATTGTCCACACTGCAGTACAATTCCCAGCGTGCTTTAATTCTTCCCAATTGACTGCTGTGTTTAAATGATACTGTACGCCACTTTGAGATCGCTTTACAGTGAAAAACAGGTAATGAAAGATTAACAAATAAATACACACACGTTCTGGTTAATTGTTCATGTGGGTCTTTTTTATCCCCCCAATCTGATTGCTTAAAATCCTTCAGTGGAGAAGGTGGAAAACGTAGTTCAGCTTGTCTACGGTCCAACTATCGATGCTCAAAAGGTGATTCAGAATCAGGCGGGAGGGCTTTTGGAGTGCCTGGGAAGATGCTGGCAATCTTTGCACCCCCTGGATAAATGGAATGATTGCCGAGGGAACGAGATGCCTCTTTCCGACTGAGTGGTCTGCACCGCATTTCTAAAAAAACCAACAAGACAACGCTGCACAATCATGGGTTATTTGTCTGCAATTTCCCTATCATTTCCCAACAAGTAATGGGCAGCGTTATTTGACATCAATCTTCCAATTTGCGGTTGTAATGGACTCAAACCTGCCAAACGGAAAATGATCAAATCCTCCTTATCGCTGTTTTTGTAGCCTTACTCTGCATAACACCTGGTGGAATAAAAATGTGGCAAAGAGGGGCCTGTTCAGCATTCTGCGGGTGCCGCTCCTACTCTTGACACACCACCGGCACATTCCTTTTGTGCACTCATTGTTCTTGCTTGTGTTCCACCAGAGCAGCTGAGGGGAACGTCCCGGGATTTCACAAACAGCCAGCTTATCAATTCTGACTCTAATGCCTAATTGTTTGAAATGGGCAACGCAGCGCAAGCGAGCGCTGCTTTCCCAACTTTTCCTCGGTTAAATTCAAGAAATTGTTTCCTCCGAGAAAGGCTTCGTTTGAATTCAGTTCCACGGCGCAAGATGCAGCTAGCTGTAAATATTCACAGGGATGCTCTTTTTGTATTCTTGGAATCACAGAATTGTAGAGTTGGAAGGGACCTCGAGGGTCATCTAGTCCAACCCCCTGCAATGCAGGAATCTCACCTAAAGCATCCATGACAGATGGCCATCCAGCCTCTGCTTAAAAACCTCCAAGGAAGGAGAACCCACAACCTCCTGAGGGAGACCTTTTCACTACCTATCAATAATTTTCAGCCTGTCACATGCTTCAAAGAAAATAATGTATATGTAGGTGTGTTTATATTTTTGCAAGGCAGGGGCTGGAAGGGCCATACTAGTAGTTTAGTATTAGTATTAGTATTAGTGGTAGTAGTAATACTCTGGGCAGCTCCCAACAGAATATTAAAAACAGAATAAAACATCAAGCATTAAAAACTTCAGTAACAGGGCTGCCTTCAGATGTCTTCTAAAAGTCAGATAGTTGTTTATTTCCTTGACATCTGATGGGATGGTGTTCCACAGGGCGGGCACCACTACCGAAAAGGCCCTCTGCCTGGTTCCCTGTAACGTCACTTCTTGCAGGGAGGGAACCACCAGAAGGCCCTCGGAGCTGAACCTCAGTGTCCGGGCTGAATGATGGGGGTGGAGACGCTCCTTCAGGTATACTGGGCTGAGGCTGTTCAGGGCTTTAAAGGTCAGCACCAACACTTTGAATTGTGCTTGGAAACGTACTGGGAGCCAATGTAGGTCTTTCAGGACCAGTGTTATGTGGTCTTGGCGGCCACTCTTAGTCACCACCAGTCTAGCTGCCGCATTCTGGATTAGTTGTAGTTTTCGGGTCACCTTCAAAGGCAGCTCAGTGGTGGAGCATCTGCTTTACATACAGAAGGTCCCAGGTTCAATCCCCAACATATCCGGGTAGGTCTGGGAATTGTTAGGATATTGATGTTCCGTTCCACCTCAACAGACATGTGGAATTGTTGTATGTCACATGTCTGTTTAAATTCCAGCACAGCTTGCTGGGAACTTCCATTTGTGTGTATAGCTATTGCTGATACTGCTTGCTCTTGGACACGAAAGGGAGAAGACATGTTTTTCCTTTGTCCTGATATACGCTGAATAAACTGCCTGTAGATGTACTTTACACAGCCTCTCCCTGCCACTTCTGCTGTGCGTTTACTCTGCTGAGTTGTGCGCCCAGCTTCTGAAGCTCTGGGTCGCAGATTCATGCTGCACCAAGGACTGGAGTTCAACCAGCATGTTGGCTGGTGGGCAGGAGCCAGTTGGGGGCTTGCCAATTTCTCCTGGTTCCTTAGCAGCATCCCAACAGGAATGTCCCCTGCCTGAAAGCCTGAACAGCCATTGCCTATTTTCCTATGGCCTTATGAGGGGATTCATTGCAGAGGTAAAGGCTCCTGTGCCTTCTGCTGATCAGAAAGTGTACATCACCTTTCTCTGCTGTGTCATTGTGACACAGAACTGAGACAAACCGTACCTGCTGAAAATCCTTCTTCCCAATCATCTGCCTCCTATCCTGTCACACCTGCTATCTCCACAGCAAATTTACCTTCCAGCTGCTTTGGACTGCAGCTCCCTTCATTGGCCCTGCAGGCTGGGGGTGCATGGGATCTGTAGTATAAAACAACTGGAGATCACAATGTTGATGACATCTTCCCTGTATAGTGTTAGGAATTTGCCTTGGTGGGTCAGGTGTTGTGGATTAGCTCCGCATGGGACACACTTACACCCTACAGTTCATAGAATTCCTTGGGAAGATGGATTGACCATTAAACCGCTCTGGGAATTGTAGCTCTGCGAGGGGAAGAGGGGCTTCCTTATAACTCTCAGCATCCTTAACAAACTATAGTTCCCAGGATTCTTTTGGGGAATCCTGTTTAAAGTGGCATCAGAGTGCTTTAAATATATAGCATGGATGTGGCCTCATTCCATCAGTACAAGGATTTACACTCAAGGAACAGAACTCCACCCCCCTCGCCTCCCCACTGATGACAACCAGTGACATCCCACCCTTGAGTTTTATGTTAAAGGTAAAGGGACCCCTGACCATTAGGTCCAGTCATGGCCGACTCTGGGGTTGCGGCGCTCATCTTACTTTATTGGCCAAGGGAGCAGGCGTACAGCTTCCAGGTCATGTGGCCAGCATGACTAAGCCACTTCTGGCAAACCAGAGCAGTGCACGGAAATGCCGTTTACCTTCCTGCCAGAGCGGTACCTATTTATCTACTTGCACTGGTGTGCTTTCGAACTGCTAGGTTGGCAGGAGCTGGGGCAGGAGCAGAGACCAAGCAACATGAGCTCACCCTGTTGCGGGGATTTGTACCTCTGACCTTCTGATTGGCAAGTCCTAGGCTCTGTGGTTTAATCCACAGCATCACCCGCGTCCCTGAGTTTTATGCTAAAGGTAAAGGTAAAGGTACCTCTGCCCGTACGGGCCAGTCTTGACAGACTCTAGGGTTGTGCGCTCATCTCACTCTAGAGGCCAGGAGCCAGCGCTGTCCGCAGACACTTCCGGATCACGTGGCCAGCGTGACAAAGCTGCTCCGGCGAAGCAGCACCAGAGCAGCACACGGAACGCTGTTTACCTTCCCGCTAGAAAGCGGTCCCTATTTATCTACTTGCACTTAATTGTGCTTTCGAACTGCTAGGTGGGCAGGAGGTGGGACAGGACGACGGGAGCTCACCCCGCCGCGGGGATTCAAACCGCCGACCATGCGATCGGCAAGTCCTAGGCGCTGAGGTTTTACCCACAGCGCCACCCGCGTCCCTGAGTTTTATGCAATTCCTTACCAAAAAGGAAAGATGTGAAATTTTACAATGGAGAGCTGGAACCTGTGGCCAAATGTTATTCCCAATCTTCCTGCTCCTAACGCCCCCCCTCCAAAAAATACATCTGCTTCCGCAAGAAAACCCAAGAGTAGACAGCTTAATGGATTAAAGAAAAAAGCACAGTGTTTCCATTAATATAATTAGTTGCCTGTATGTTACGTCCTGTTGACAAGAGTTTTGCTTCTGTCAGACGTTTATTTATGATCATTGTTTATGTTTAGTGCTTGAGATGTAATGTCATTATAATTAGGCTTCGGCACTCAAGTGACAATTAAAAAGGAAGCTATAAAGGTTTTGTTTAGAATCCTTGACATTTGTTACAGAATAATGCATTTGTTATATAGTAATGCAATTGCTGGATTGTAGAGCCTTCAGTCTAGTCATCGCAGGGAGAGAGGAATTAAACAGCATGAGCAAATGCCGAAGGAACATTTTCAAGACACCTTCAAAAAACCAGGTTGATCAGGGCTTTGTATATCAAACCTGGCCCAGTAGTTACAGCCACTGAGAGATTAAAACACAGAGATGAATATGCATTTAGGTTTTAGCAGAACCAGGGCAAACTAGGTTTAAGTATGCTATGTTTGATGTAGGACAATTGTATCCTCTCCTGCTGTTTCCATCACCTTCGGTGGGGTCAGACTTTTCCCCCTAAAGCACCAATGTAACCCACTACAACCTCACCTGCCAACCCACCATTCCTCAAACCAGTTGTTTTGCAACCTCAGAAATGTTCTTGCCATTAATGCATACTGTTTATGTTTCATTACCATAGGATTGCTGCATTCATTAGTACGTGTTAGCCTGTAAGCATTTAGGCACAAGTGTTAACACATGCCATGTTAATTTGTTCTTGTTTTCGCATCACAGCAATTATACCAGACCTTGGAAAGTCCAGAGGGTGATTAAAAATACATATATACAAAAAAATTAAGAAGATGGCTCCAAGCCAGGAATTTGTGCAAAGCTACAAAACAAAAGTTTTGACAGAAGCCCAAGAGCTGGCTGATTAGTTCAGTGAATGTATAAAATCAAGTTCCCCAGCTCCCCCCTTTAATAGATCCTTCTCCCATTCTCTATCTTCCCTGTCCTAACCTTTCTCTTTCCCTCAGCACTCTTTCACTTACCATCTTCTTAGGCTTTGGGATTCCCATTTCTGCCTGATGCTTATTTTGTACCCATAGAAACTCTGCAATCAAATTGCCTGCCCCTTACTGTAGCACCCTTACCTACAGAAATTTCTCCTTAATCCTCAGTTCGCCATAGAATGTCACTCCTGTCCCCGGAATCTGTATGTTTTAAATCCCAGCCAAACTGCTGCTTTCCCTTCTTTCACAGGAACTGGACTGCAGACATTCTGAAAGCTATGCTCTCTCAGAACTTTAAACGTTCCATGTCATCACAGAGCTCAGCCAATCAGTGTCAGAAGCTCCACTAAATACAGACTGAACTGGATACTTCATTGAAGGCATCAAAATAATGCTTGGTATAAAAATGCAATTCTCTCCTCCAGTGTGGTGTAGTGGTTAAGAGCGGTAGTCTTGTAATCTGGGGAACCAGGTTCGTGTCTCCGCTCTTCCACATGCAGCTGCTGGGTGACCTTGGGCCAGTCACACTTCTTTGAAGTCTCTCAGCCCCACTCACCTCACAGAGTGTTTGTTGTGGGGGAGGAAGGGAAAGGAGAATGTTAGCCGCTTTGAGACTCCTGAAGGCGAGTGAAAGGCGGGATATCAAATCCAAACTCTTCTTCTTCATCATCATCACAGCAATGCTCTGATTTATTATTTCTGTTTTTATGCAAAGAAACTGACTTTGAGAGGGTGACTTTTCAGAGCTGGCAGGAATTTGAATCTACCTCTCAAACCCCCTTCCCCTAGTGGCTTGGGAACACTCCACACAAAAGCAGCTCACGGGGTGTGGCAGAGCTAGCTTCCTAGGAGATGGGTGGCTGTAGCTTACCAGGAGGGCTAGAGTAACAGAAGGGTGGGGAGGTTGGTGCAGTGCGAACACACCGACAGGTGCACTAGATTGGCTCTGCTGCTGCATTTGCACTATGCTGACCTCCCCTCCTGTCTCTCCCCTCCTCTGACCCTTGGGGTCCCTTCCAGATCTACAGTTCTAGGATTCTATTATTCTTCCTCCTGGTAAGCAACAGTGACCTACTTGATGGGAAGCTAGCATAGCAGCTCCACCCGCAGTGATGCCATTTCGAAGAAGAAGAAGGGAGATGGATTTTCTCCCAGAATGTAAACCTGACCTGCAACCAACCTCCTATTCCCATCTTTTATTTAAACACATTTTCTTATTTTAAAAAAGATAGCTACAGCCAGATACACAATTAAGAAAGCAGCAGACTCTGCCCCTACGCTGGTTGAACAAAGTAAATTATGTACAAGACAACAGCTCCAAGAGGGGAGGGCATTAATGGACTATTGTAACACAGCAGGAGGGCAGTCAAAGTGGTATTTGTTCGACATATCCTTTTGTAAACAAGCTGTGCCAGATGCAGTTACAGGTGAGCTTTTGAGAACCAGAGTGATGTTATTTGATTCAAGTAGGCGATTCAGGTTCCTTCCCCAACCCTAATATGTGGCCCGGCCCTAATTCTTTGCATACCTGTCTTCACGGTTTCATTAAAACTCAAGAGCTCTCTCCATCTTTCTCCCTCTCTCCTCTCCCTCCCTCCATCTTTGGCTGGCACAGCCGAGAGGTATTTGAAAAGAACAGCAGCATAATTTGAACAGGCAAATTTGAAGCACCGCGATCAGGGTATGAAACCTATACTAACGTCTGCTTGTTTATTTGAGAACGGCTCTGCTGGTGTCACTTTTCATCACTCGACAATACACAGGTGCTGCCCAGCTGAGCACTAACTGTTCTTTGCAAATCTTTGTGCAGAATTTCTCAAGGTGGTTTGGTGGCCAGGGTTCAAATAGCGCTGTGTTGAGCCCAGATGACACACAGTGGCTGTTCTAACCCGCTTCATGAGACAGATTTCATCATAGGCTGAGCATCTGTCCCAGGCAAGCCAAGTCTGTGAGGAGCTGTACATGGATTTACAGCTGTAAGGATGTGTGTGTCACCCCATTTTCTGGTTTGAGGATCTGCTTGTTCCTGTTTTGGTTCAGCCCTCCTCACCTCTTTGTCCGAATGCCCTGACATTCTCTTCCACATGTACCATGCTGACCTCTCCTTCTCCATACAACCTGCACTTCCCTTGTCATGCACTTCTCTGCCTCCTGGTCCAGAACTGATTAAGTAACCAGCCAATAATCCTGTATCTGAACAAGGCAGATGAAGAAAAGCAATGGCGAGGACGTACTTTTCCACAGCCTTGTATTGGGAGTAGGAGCCCCAGAGCAACTGAGTTCACGCTGAATGCTTCACTGACTGATGTTAATGAGAGTTTCCTCATATTTTCACACTCCATGAAATCTGATTAGCTTATATTGGGGCTTCCCGGGGCCAGTTTCCTGATGCAGAAAAGCAATAAACAAAAAGGGCAAGGTGGGAGATTGGTAAAGTTCACTCCTGATTTTTACAGCAACTGAACTGAAGCAAGACCTGATTTCACATTACTTCTTAGGTCTCTTCTCACATTCATTCCCTATGAGAATGGCAATCTCTCACTTCCCCCACCCCCCAGCTCTGGTCTTGTTGAGAAGATAGGAGTGGTTGAGGCAGACCACAGAGTTTTCAAAATTAAAGTCTATTATCTGCTAGCGTAACAGGTGCAGGGTCAGCACTAGACTATATTGAGGCTCGTACAGAAGAAATTATTCCCGCCTCAATCTCTTCCTGTCAGTTTAACTCCACTCATACCCACACACAGAACCATAGAACTGTAGAGTTGGAAGAGACCTCAAGAATCATCTAGTCCAACCCCCTTGCAATGCAGGGATCTTTTGTCCAACGTGGGGCTCAAACTCATGACCCTGAGATTGAAAGTCTCATGCTCTACCAACCAGGCCATCCCAGTAGCTCTATAAATTGAAATTGAAATACTTTATTGTCACTTGTACAACTCATATGCTGTCTAGGTTTGTCAGCCTAGACAGCATCTTAAAAAGCAGAGACATCACCTTGCCAACAAAGGTCCGTATAGTTAAAGCTATGGTTTTCCCAGTAGTGATGTATGGAAGTGAGAGCTGGACCATCACCGAAGAATTGATGCTTTTGAATTATGGTGCTGGAGAAGACTCTTGAGAGTCCCATGGACTGCAAGAAGATCAAACCTATCCATTCTTAAAGAAATCAGCCCTGAGTGCTCACTGGAAGGACAGATCCTGAAGCTGAGGCTCCAATGCTTTGGCCACCCCATGAGAAGAGAAGAGAAGACTCCCTGGAAAAGACCCTGATGTTGGGAAAGATGGAGGGCACGAGGAGAAGGGGACGATAGAGGATGAGATGGTTCGACAGTGTTCTCGGAGCTACCAGCATGAGTTTGACCAAACTGCGGGAGGCAGTGGAAGACAGGAGTGTCTGGCGTGCTCTGGTCCATGGGGTCATGAAGAGTCGGACACAACTAAATGGCACAACAACACAACTCATATACAGTGAGATTACACAAGCACCCCCCACTCAGCAGTCTTAATTCCCCTTGTTTACTGACCCACACCCACCAAACCCGAAAGTCAGTTGCCCTGTTGTTATCTTTTCATTCAGCAGCCTAACAGCCTGCAGATAGAAGCTGTTCTTTACCCTGTTGGTGCGATGAATCATGCTTCTATATCTTCTGCCTAAGGGCAGGAGATCAAGAAATTGCTGGCCAGGGTGTGAATCATCCCTGAGAATTTTCCTCACTCTCCTGAGGCAACGTTCTTCCGCGATGTCATCCAGGGGATTCACGGGACAGCCCATAATATCTTGTGCTGTATTCACCACCCTCTGTAGGCACTTCCTATCAGTTGATGTCAAACCAGTGTACCACACCATGATGCAGTATGAAAGGACACTTTCTATTGTGGACCAGTAGAAGGAGATCATCAAATGTTGATTGACATCGTTCTTTCGCAATACTCTGAGGAGATGGAGTCTCTGTTGGGCTTTATGAACCACCTGGGTTGTATTGATGTTCCAGGTAAGGTCTTCACCATAATAATAATAATAATAATAATAATAAATAAAAAGAAGAAGAGTCTGCTGGATCAGGCCATGAATTTGCCACGCATACGGCTTTAGGAATATGTTCTTCAAACACACATTTATGGACTTCACTTATTCCATTTAATTTTGTTAGAGTGGTATCCCACCTTTCCATTATTATGTATGCTCGGAGAGAAATCACCATTGCAGAAAATGGTCCCAGCAGCTCAGAACAAAGCTATAACAAATGCAAGGATTTTAACGGGGAAAATCTAGGAGAGCCAATGGAATCTAGCAGAGCTGGATTTGGCCCCCAGTAGCTGAAGCATCAGTGTTGGAAAACTGAGGCCTGGCTTTCGCCATTCATTGTTTTGATGACAATGGGTGGTCTGTGCAGCAGCTGCAGCGATTGCAAATTGAGGGCTGGGTTGGCTCCCTCCCTCTCCTCCCTCCCTCCCTCCCTCTCCTCCCTCCCTCCCTCCCTCCCTCCCTCTTGATGGTGATATTTCATTTTCTTTTGTGCCAACTGCTCCTAATCCAATTAGTACTGTTTATTGCAAAATCAAAATGCTGTAATGGAAACCAGGTAATAAAATAGTGTCTAAATGATGAGGTATATCTAATCAGCTTTCCAAGGCTAAGAGCCAGATCCGTTCCCTTCACACCGAGTAGCAGTAAAACTTTCTCAGATCTATGCAAAATGTCTGAAATTTGTGTACAGCAAAAATGACACTTTTAGAATCATAGAATTGTAAGGGACCCTGAGGATCATCCAGCCCAACCCGCTACAATGCAGGAATATGCAGCTGTCCCATACGGGAATCAAACCTGCAACCTTGCTGTTATCAGCACCACACTCTAACCAACTGAACTATCATATGAACATTTTCCCCATTGCCTATTTTCTTTCAATAGATATGGAAGATAGATGATGGTAGATAGAGAGATGTGTCTCTGTGTGAATTTTTCAGTATATTGTTTGGTTGGAGAACATCTCAAAATCCGCAGAAGTGCATTTTTTGAAAACTAGCTGCATTTTTGTTGCTACGATGGTTTCAGAAGTGCAAATTAGGTAGCATCTGACTAAAATGCAAGTGAAATTGATTTTCCCTCCATACCTACTTAGTAGTGTATTTGATTGTACTGTGGGAGCCTGTGGTTCAGATCCTCATGGAGGTTCGTTAGCCTTTTAGCCAGGACTACCACATAGGGCAATGGAAAGAATGGGAGCTCAGAGTGTAGGTTTCAAGCAGTGGGCACGCAATAAAATGTCCTAAAACCAGGATAAAAGCAAAACAAGCTTATATATCAAAACCAAGCAGCTTGCACAACTTGGTTTTGTAAAATAAAGAATCGCCATTTGCAAAATCTTGGGTAAACAGAAAGGTCTCATGTTAAATGTTCAGAAAAAGTCGGAAGCCCAAGGCAGTATAAGTTCCTCAACTAAGTTTATTCAACATTTGTCAGTGACAACAGCTCACTCATAGGAACACAAGAACCAAACAAACTGGACAACAACGATAATAATCCCAAGCATGAACTGACTGTTGACAGTTGACAGAGCATGTGTGTGTTGGTCCCGAGGGCTAACCGTGCAGCGAGGTCTGAGTCCAGTCCGAGGTTGAGGGTGCGGTATGGAGGCTGTCCATCAAAGCTGAAGCAGGGTCCAAGGCACGGAGTCAGGTGAGGTCAGGAACTCTGGCAGAAGAGCAGGACAGGGTGCAGGCAGGAACAGGCTACCAACACTCCCGCAACCTGGGACTGGGCTGGCTGGCTTTTATCTGCCCCGATGCATAGGGTGGCCCCAGTCCACAGGTGACTCGCCTCTCCTGGCCTGGAGGCAAGCACTCCTTAGTTCCCTCCTCCTCTATACCCTGAGCCTCTGCAGCTCAGGAGAGGCTGGAGGATTACCAGACCCAGAGGCAACCTCAGCTTCCCCTGATGGGGCTGAGAGTGGAGCACCTGCAGGCAATGGGTCCTCCATCACCTCAGGAACCAGAGCAGACTCAGCTGGTGCCTGCACCTGAGGATCCAGCACAGATGAGGACCCTTCAGGCTCAAGCCCCAGCCCCGGCTCAGCTGGTTCTGGAGGCGGGGACTCCTGTGCAGGCTGGGATTCCTCAGGTTCAGCCACCGAGTCCGAATCCCAGGCCATCACAATGTGCTTACTTGCCATTAGAACGTTCATCTGCCAACGCTTCTAGGATTGGTTAGAATGCACCTTTTAACAAAAAAATGTGTTAAACCCAATACATAACATCTCAGAAAATATCCTTTCAAGCAAGCTATAATATTTGCTCCAGTGCGGTGTAGTGGTTAAGAGCGATAGACTCGTAATCGGGGGAACCGGGTTCGTGTCTCCGCTCCTCCACATGCAGCTGTGGGTTACCTTGGGCTAGTCACACTTCGCTGAAGTCTCTCAGCCTCACTCACCTCACAGAGTGTTTGTTGTGGGGGAGGAAGGGAAAGGAGAATGTTAGCCGCTTTGAGACTCCTTCGGGTAGTGATAAAGCGGAATATCAAATCCAAACTCTTCTTCTCCTTCTCCTGCTCAGCTCCTGCTTGCACAGTCTTAGACCTTGAACATTTCATTGAGATTGAACACCCTCCCTCACTTCCATTCTAAGTAGAGGACCAGTGCTTCTTTCCATGAACCTGTTGGGAGCTGATGTAGGTACATTTCCTCACTGACTAGAGGCTGATACGACTACAGGTCCTGTCTCTTTTTCTGCTACTATGGGTGTGGCAGCCATTTTGTGTTATGCCACACCAGCCACGGCGGCCATTTTGTGACTGGCGCCCATGATGCTTTCTCAAAAAGGTTGGTGACAGATGCCTTGTTCCCTTGCTTGCTTCATACCTTGTGAGATGTTCCAGCAACCTCCGGCTGGGTGCTATACTTTGGAGAAAACGCTGAAGTAAGCAACTCTTGGTCTGATCCAGCACGGCTCACCTTCCGTTCTTACAATTTCTTTCACATAGTTTGCTTCTTCTTCTGCCTGAATCTTTTATTCAGTTTTTCTTTAATGCTCCCATCCATATGAATGCTGGAAGCGATCCTGTTTCATAGGCTCAGGCATTAGTCCAAGAACCATCAAGGCCAAAGTTCTTGATAATAGTGTTGACTTGCCCCAGGAAGCGAGTTTCTAAATGGAACACTTGGGAATCCCACCGTGTAAATAATTTAAACTCGATCTGGGCAAATTGTTGGAAAAATACGGAATAGGGCATATTCACACAATGGAAACAGACAATCTGACCTAACAAGGTCTCATCTCTGCTTATCTTCTGCAATTTCCCCCCCGCTACCACTCCAAAATAGAAATGAGAAAAGTGACAAGGGAAAGACCTTATGTTTTATTTTATTTCTCCTCCACTTAAAGGAAAAGGCCAGAGGAACCCATCTATTAGCTGAAAAGACAAAAAAAGAGCCTAGCATGTCATCTTAAAGTGAGGCAGGAAGATCAAACAGACAATTTTAGCACCGCGGCAGCCAAGTCCCTTCAGAGGCTTCTACGTATAATGTATGTTTAATAAAGCGGAGGAAAATTTCTTCTTGTTAAGAAGTGCTTTGAATTGCTAATTTGCGAGGTATGGAATTTTACTATTAAAACCAAGGCCACTTCTCGCTCTTTCATATGCCACCCTTATTTTTCCTCCCAAGTGAATATTTACACAGCTGTGTACATTTTGATTAAAGTTGCTGGCAGTTCAAAGGCTCCCCATTGATTAATCATATGCATGCTATCAATGCATTGATTAATTCTATGAACACTTACCTAGGAGCAAATCTCCCACTGAACTTAAGGGGATTTCCTTCTGAGACTGAACCATGATTGATTGACCCATAGAGCTGGGGTGGTGTGCTGGTTGCTAAAATGTTGGGACAGACCCCACCTGGAATACTGTGTCCAATTCTGGGCACCACAACTTATGAAGGATGTTGACAAGCTGGAACATGTGCAGAGGAAGGGCTACCAAGGTGAGCAAGGGTCTGGAAACCAACCCTTATGAGGAACGGTTGAAGGAGCTGGGTATGTTTAGCCTGGAAAAGAGGAGACTGAGAGGAGATGGGATAGCCACCTTCAAATATTTCAAGGGCTGCCATGTGGAAGAGGGAGCAAGCTTGTTTTCTCCTGCTGTGGAGGATAGGACTCAAACCAATGACTTCAAGTTACAAGAAAGGAGATTCTGACTAAACTTTCTGGAAGAACTTTCTGACAGTGAGAGCTGTTCAACAGTGGAACGGTCTCTCTTGAGAGGTCATGGACTCTCCTTCCTTGGAGGTCTTTAAGCAGAGGTTGGATGGCCGTCTGCCATGGATGCTGTAGCTGAGATTCCTGCATTGCAGGGGGTTGGACTAGATTACCCTTGGGGTCCTTCCCAACTCTACAGTTCTATGATTCTATGAGCCTGGTCTGGAGACAACCTGCTCCAAATCCCCACTGACTCAGTCAGTGGATTGGACATTGCATACCCTCCAACATGTCACACGTGACACATGTCTTGAGCTGCCGTGCTTCCATGTGACTCATGTGAGAGCACAGTCCCCCAAAATGGATGTCTTTGGGGACTCTTGCAGAAGCCAAAAAGGGGCATCCCAGGATCCATTCAGAAGCTGTGATGGCTTCTGTAATTCTGGGATGTCCCACTTAAAGCGGGACAGTTGAGAGGTATCTCATTGCCACTGAGCCTAGCCACCTTCTGATCTTAGGATAACAGGAAGTGGAGAGAGGCCAAGCATTTGAAGGTGTTTTCTTCTGATATTTTGTAACATGTATTTTGCATCTGGCACTCTTTGTTTATTTCCAAAAGTACGTAAGTGATGCCTTTGGATGCCAGCACTAAATGCATAGCAAATCACTTCTGCAGCTATGCACGGTGTTTCTGATATACTAAGCTGTATTTTCACAGACCAGAAAATATGCCAACTTGCTGATTATACAGACCGCGTTTGCTACACAGCTGATTATACAGCCTGTAGTCTATCGTTAGGGTGAGTCATTCTTCACAGCTGCTGTAGGGAACTTAGTTTTCAATAAGCATCTTAGAGTCAATAAGGTCTCCACGATAGGATATGAGAAGGAATGTGTACATTAATACGGTGCACCGGAAGAGAAGAGCTAGATTTATGCTTGTTGGTGGTTTTTATATATAAAAAAGAATAGACTTCAATAACGCATCGAAGAGGAGAAAATGATGCTGCAAACAGAGAGGCTTAATTTCTAGACTGAGAGCGAGAGACAGTGAAATTGTATATTGCAGAAAATGATAGAAAATGAATTATTTGGTAGAGGCATTTTGCGGTCTTGCTGATATATGTGAAAGCTTTGCGGATGTCATTAATAAGAACCATGATGTGGCCAGAAGCCAATTAAGCCAAAACTCTTGTGTAGAAAGTGCATAGACTGTGGAACTCACTCCCACAAGAGGCAGTGATGTCCAGCAACCTAGGTGGCTTTAAAAGAGGATTGGACAAATTCATGGAGCAGAGGGTGATCAAAAGTTACTAGCCATGATGGCTATGTTCTGCCTTCCCAGCTGGAGGCTTCTGAATACCAGTTGCCGGAAACTACAAGAGGGGATAGTGTTCTTGTGCTCAAATCCTGCTTGCTGGTTTCCAACAGTGGTCAAATATTGTGAGAACAGGATGCTAGTCTAGATGAGCCATTGGCCGGATCCAGCAGGCTCATCTTATGTTCTTATGAAAACTAGGTCCATGGCTGTTGCTTGATATATTGCATTATCACTTTCCTGGGCTTGTTAGGAGATGGATTACTGCATTTTTTTACATCAGATTTCCTTAAGGGAAGCCCCAAAGTGTAAGTAGGCTGGAGGAAGTCTCTTGTAGGTACAATAGATCTTTGCCTCCTCCTTTAATCACACTCTTTTAACACTGTTCTGTTCTGTTTGAGCCTATGGCCCGTTAGAAGAGATTCAGATGTGAAGTAATCAAGGGGAAGTCTCTAGGAGCTTGTACAAAACACAATGGCCCTTTAAAGTGCAACAGCTTCCCTCTGAGGGGATGGAGCCAGAGGCAATCCCTTAGCTGCAGGGCTATTGAAGCTCACAGTTGGCTCCAGGCAGTTGCTGAAGCAACATCGTTTGCTAGTGCTCTGAATGGTTTGAATTCAGGCTCTCTGCTTCGCACAGAGCTGACCAGGGTCCTGAACCCCAGCAGCTAGCCTGCCCTGAAGGATGCCACTCCATATTCAACAGGACCTGATCACATTTACCCACTGCAATGATCATGTTACCATAGTCCATGTTACTTGAAAGATATATACATCTATACACCCGTATATCTCATTTCAAACATCTCTGCATTGCTGCTCATTGCTGCAAATGATTACTAAGGTGCACATGAGCTACTAAACTTTTTTAGTTTGCTAATACTTAATTTGTAACATTGCAATGCTTGATTTTTAGTGCATTGAAGACACGTAGTTTGAAAAGATATTTGATATAAGTTTCAAATATGTTATCCCAGCTTGAATGACGATCTAGTTTTATTTCATATTATTTGCAAGACTAAAACTGGAGGATGATTTCTACCAGACAGCTGAATGCGTGTGTGTGTGTGTGTTTTCCCCTTCTATAACTAAGATGAATTCAATTGAGTTAGCTTTAAGTTCAAAACGATGGAAATAATGTGCAGTTATAGTTTTTGGCAGCTGCATCAACTTTAGGGTGTCAAATAACTTGCACAAATTATTCTACTCTTTTCACAGACCATATATAATTCAAAAATGGCAGGAAAGGTTGCACACACAAACTAATTTCAATTGACAATATATGAGGCAGACAACTCTAGAACGAACCAATAGGTAATTGAAAAAAATGTGGATCTAGAAAGGTCTAGCTATGAAGTATTTCTTTTTATAAAAATACTGTTACATTTCAGAAGGGGGCAATCCTATGGGAAGAACATCTGGGACGAACAGCTTAGTGTGCAGTGGATCTCTGTCTGAGCCAGGAGGTTCCTTGCTCAGTTGAGCTAGCTCAGCCAGTAGAGCACGAGACGCTTAATATTAAGGTTGTGGGTTTGAGCCCCATGTTGGGTGAAAGATTCCTGCACTACAGGGAATTGGACTAGAAGACCCTCAAGGTCCCTTCCAACTTCCATGATTCCACAATTCCATGATTTTAAGTTCCTGACGCTGACTCAGCTGAAGATATGCCCAAGTAACTTGCCAAATCTCAGCTAAAGCTGGTTCAGTCGAGACTGAGGGGTGTTGCAGGGCTGGGACCAGGCAGAGGGACTTAAGCAAGATCCTAACTCAGTTCAGGTCAGTCATGTGACCTGGCAAAGAAATGGTAGTGTTAAGTCAAACTCTTTTCAGAGGCTTGTTTTTCCTCTGACAGGCTTGGGCTAGCTTAGTTGGCAGTAACATTGCTCCTGAACAGGGTTTGGAGCTGATGTTATTTTAAGGGTAAAGGGACCCCTGACCATTAGGTCCAGTTGAGACCAACTCTGGGGTTGCGGCGCTTATCTCGTTTTATTGGCCGAGGGAGCCAGCGTACAGCTTCCGGGTCATGTGGCCAGCATGACTAAGCCGCTTCTGGCGAACCAGAGCAGCGCACGGAAACGGCGTTTACCTTCCCTCCGAAGCGGTACCTATTTATCTACTTGCACTTTGACATGCTTTCAAACTGCTAGGTTGGCAGGAGCTGGGACCAAGCAACAGGAGCTCACCCCGTCACGGGGATTTGAACCGCTGACCTTCTGATCGGCAAGTCCTAGGCTCTGTGGTTTAACCCACAGGGCCACCCGCATCCCTCCTGATGTTATTTTATGCCTGCTTAATTTATGCCAGCTTGCTTGTGTATAGGATTGCTTCCTCAAGAACAGTCTCAGGTAATCTTAAGCACCTTTTCTGGAAGGATGGTCTTGTGGCTTATTGCACGATCCGTCAGAGTTTTCTCAGGAAGTTCATCATCTTTCTGAAAGTGCGTAAGGAAGGAAGGAAGGAAGGAAGGAAGGAAGGAAGGAAGCTCAAAAATTCATTGATCCTGCTGGGCAGTTTATTGGCAGTCCTCTTCTGTAGTCAGGACTCTCCCTCTATCATTTTCCCCCTCTTTAACTTACTATGCCAGGGAGAAAGGAAATTGGTCGTGAGGAGGAATGGGGGAGATATTTGGTGCAATATGCATTTTAACACAAACCAAATTTGCCCTTCTTGAAACAATATGCAAACTGAAATGCATATTGACTTCCTTCAAAATCCACACTTCTCCCAACTTTGCGATGCCGTTCTCCAACCAAAAAATGTGCACAAGAATGTACAGTGGTACCTTGGCTGTCGAACTGCTTGGCTCCTGAACAAATTGGCTCCTGAACGCCGCAAACCCAAAAGTAAGTGTTCTGGTTTGCGAACGTTTTTTGGAAGCCGAATGTCTGACGTGGCTTCCGATTGGGTGCAGGAAGCTCCTGCACCTAATCACAAGCCACGCCTTGGTTTTCAAATGGTTCTGGGAGTCAAACAGATTCCTGGAATGGATTAAGTTTGACAACCAAGATACCACTGTATATGGTAGGTCATAGGAAGCATGCATTAATGAAAAGAACACCAAAATGCATTAAGAGGAAATTGATTGCAAAAATATGAACATTATGAGAAATCTGCACTAAAATGCTAACAATTATAAACATATGTTGCAAATTGGTGCAGAATGTGGCAAATTGAATTTGAGACTGGAAAAATGAGAAATTGAGAGAAACTGAGATTACCAGATTCAGTAATTCCTGGCAGTGTCAGGGTTGGAGTCAGGCACAGGCCAGAAAGCAAGGCGCAGAGTTGGTCAGTGACGTTAACTCTTTATTCAAGAAATGGCATACAACTCAACAACCCTTCCCAGTAAGTCCTGCCTCTACAGAGCCGTTGTCAGAACAGTCCTTTCACCAACGTCTGCCAGATGCTTCCCAAGCAGTCTCAAACTGTGACTGGGGCACCTCTAATCTCTGTCCTGCTCTATCCAACACTCTGTGTGTCCTTGGAGAGGCAGGCTCCCTGGATTCTTGAACCCACCCCCTCTGCTTCAGCCTTGGAGTCTGAACTGCTCTCTGTCACAAGCTCTTCCTGTTCACTAAATCCTGTTGTCCCTTCAGCATCCAACAATTGCTCCCACTCTTCTCCCTCTGATTTCTCCTTGGTGTCCCACCACCATTCGCCTGGCTCTGAGCCTTCCTTCTCTGGGGGTTCCCTTGGGGGTTCCCCAACTGGTGCCTCCCACGACTCCTAATCATCCATCCAGTCCCTGGCAGATTGCAAGGAGGGTTTGCAGTGATGGAGGTTTTGTCCTTTAGATCTATCAGCCACAGATGCTTCTGCAGATATGTCCATTCTTGCCACAAGCTCTGGGAGTGGTTGTTCTTCAGTACTTCCAATGCAATGATGGAGGTTTTGTCCTTTAGATCTATCAGCCACAGATGCTTCTGCAGATATGTCCATTCTTGCCACAAGCTCTGGGAGTGGTTGTTCTTCAGTACTTCCTGACACATTGTAAATTGCAACTTTCAGGATGTATTGACATGGAGGCCTCCACTACTATAAGGTCTCGCCAAAAGTGACATTCCTCATTGCAAGGTTCGGTTTGATATATGGAAGGAATGTTCTGGCACAGAACTGAGCCCATTAGCAACCGAGCCCAGCCTTTGCCTTGAACAAAGGGGCAATAAAATAATGTTGAAATGCACTGCGGTTTTCATTGGGGGGTCGGGGGGTGGCATTGTTTTGCTTAGTGAATTCAGTCTGCCAACAATCAACGTGTTGCCATTTTAATTCTACCTTGGTTTGAATCTGCTGAACACCATGGTTTTCTGGAAACTTCAAAGTGACTTAAAGCTACTTTGAAATGAATGGGCATTGTTAACAAGTCCTGTAAGCAAATATCCCAAAGCAGCATTCCCCAACCTGGAGCTCTGCATCTGTTTTGGACTACAAATTCCATCACCCCTGACCATTGGCAATGCTGGCTTGAACTAGTGGAAGTTGTAGTGTCAGGATCTGGAAGGCTGTTTTAATGGATTGAATATTAGAGAGTTGTGGCTTTAAATGTGGGCACTGAGAATAGACACTTTTATCTATATAAAAGACAAATGAAGGTGTTAGCTAAATGATAGTTTCTCGTGTAATTTAATTATACAAAGAAATGATCTTCTCCCTTTTGTTGTTTGCAGGATCACTGCATTCAGATTTGAAACTGCCTTGCTATAAATCTGACTTTAATATTGGAGCAAGTGCACCTTCTGCATAGCTACCCAGATAATTCAAAACCCTATCTCTTCAAAGTCATTGAGGCTGTCACCACTGGTTGACAAATGTTCAGATCTGCCTTTAACGGAAGGGCGGCATGATATGTGCCACCCTGAGAAGATAGCCAAACATTCGGGAAGGTCAACAAAGCACCTGGACTTTACTTGTGAAGTTTTAAGTGGATAGAGATAGAACTCAAACAGATGTCTTCAGAGACTTATAGGTATGGAAGGGATTTCAGAGGTCCTCTAGTCCAAGACCCCCTTGATGCAGGAAACTCACCCCACCATAGACCATGCTAGGAAGGTCTGAACACATTGAAACTAGAGAAGCAAAACTGAAGTAGAAGAAAGAATAGAGGAGCCCCTGGTGTTAGGTGTACTTGTCCGCAGCCCTAAGCATCCTTAGTTGGAACTAAGATGCCATGGCAATAGCTCACATCACCAACCAGCTCTGTCCTAGTCTGAATCATGCATGCAGAAGTCCCAGATTCAGACCCTAGTGGACCTGGAACAGACTCTTGTCTGAAATCCTGGAGAATTGCTGCTGGTCACTGTAGGCCAGCAGTGGGCAGACTTCAAGCTTGTCATTCTGTTTTGCTTTTTGCTAGGACCCCAAGATCCGCTAACCTGAATCAGGTGCAAAGCACATACAGTTAGAACAGGATTCTTCTGAGCAATCTCTGAGCCTGGGATTTGTCTTCATGTACCAGAACTGAGCTCACAGTCTTTTCACAGATGTCAATTACTGGTAGCTTTCTTCATTTCAGCAGTCTACTATAGGTGGGGAAACTTCCTATTGTTGGACAGTTGGGAGTCTGAAACCTTTGCAGATTTAGTACAAGTCAGCCATTCATCTACAAGTAGATTCCAGTCTACTTTCTCCCCACCTCTCCTGGCCTAGACAAGCCTGTATGGAGTTGGGCCTCACCATCAGCTTGATGAAGACCAACATCCTGGGTCAGGACGTTGCCAGCACTCCATACATCACCACTGTTGACACATGCTTGAGGTGGTAGACAATTTTGTCTACCTGGGTGCCACCATAACCAGCAAGCTCTCCATCGATGCTGAGCTGAATAAACTTATTGGCTACAGCAACGGCTGGCCTTTTCAAAAGGGGGTGGGAGAATGATTGCTAACAATCAATATCAAGATGAAGATCTACCTGGCTTGTCAGTTTGCATTTCTTAGTGCAGAAAGTATTGATCTGATGTGTAGAGATCTTTCCTATTCTAATTAATTCAAGAGGGTTCTAGAAGCTTCTCCGTGTGAAAGAAACAAAGCAGAAGGTTCATGAAGTTTGGGTTATTCCTTCAGAGAAGCTGAGTACAGCTGGTTTAAACTGGTTCTGTTATCTCTTCTTCAAGGTCATGCTGACTATAAGAAGAGGCCAGAAGGAGCCTGGGTTTCACTTTCTCTTTCTATCTCTTTTCCTTTTGGTGTGGTGTTCTGTATATAGTGCTATGGTTTAGACTTATTATAAGTTATTGTAAGTTTAAGTAAAGTCTGCTGCAACTGGATTTCTTATGGACAGTGGCAATACTGAATGTATTGGATTTGTGACCATTAAGCTCATTTGCCTTCAGTAGCAGTAAAGTTCTGCTGGATGAAATATTAATGGCCTCTGGTCTATGTTTTGGGAATCCTGCAATGTGTTTAGGTTTTTACTCTGTTAACTGTATGCTGGAATCTGCTCTGTCTCCACCCCCATCGTTCTACCCGGACACTGAGGTCCAGCACTGAGGGCCTTCTGGCGGTTACAGGGAATCAGGCAGAGGGCCTTCTCGGTAGTGGCGCCCTCCCTGT